GCGAAAATGGTAAAAAAGCGAAAGCACTAATAAATCCCTACGAAAGCAAAAGTGCTGTGAATACAGTACAATATATAGTCTAGGTCATAAGAAAAAAAAAAGAACTGCTCCATATATACATTTTCTACAAGATTTTAGCTTTTCTAGCAGTAAGTTTCATAGAAAAAAAATAAGTAATAACAAACTTCAAAGAATCTCTGACAGCAGACTCCGTATCTAACCTTACAAACTCGGCGCTAAAGTGACCGAACCGGTCGAGTCAGTCCATTTTGAGGCAAGGAATGATCTGTGACACAAAGGTGAGGATAAATAACTCGGAGTGGGATCATAACTACTGGTTTTTCAGTAGATCTAGCGATAAACTAAGAGGGAAGTGCTAGTGCAGTCTTCTCACACTTCGTATAACCATCGATTTTATGAGAGATAAACCATAAGCGTAGGCTGCGAAGAGTTTCATATTACCAGAATCGTTGACAGCATTCATTAATGACAGATGAGGGAAGCAATGTTATGAATTTACTCAGCCGCATATACGTTATTCATTTCGTAACGTACAAATCTATGTTGAGTAATTGCGAAATTATACTTGCGAACTGTTCAAGAGGCAGGCAGAGGTCGAAATACGAGTCATTTAAAGGACGAAGATTATGAGATAAGCGGTGGGAAATGATCTGTAAAAATTCAAATATGTAATAATAATCTATAGATAAATAAATGGATACTAAATGCATGAATTTCCACGGAGATAAGCTTGGATCTCAGAGAATCGTAAAAAGGGAGTCAGTTTTCACCGAAAAATTAGGCTGACTATTCGCACCCCGCTCGCGGAATTTAAGCAAACCATCTTCAGTTTGCGAGACCACTTGTTAACCTATTTTTCAGCCTTTTTTCGCAAGTGGTCACAGGCTTTTCTAGTGAAGATGAAATTGGAAAAATCTAGAAGAAACTTGTGGGCTAAACTTGAAAACTTCTGGAACCAGCGAGGCTCACGGAAAGTCAGCGCAATGAATTTTTCTTTGCCCTCCCACCCCAGCATTTGTCTGAGGGAGCGACAAACGGTTTGATCGATAGTAAAACGTTCACAAAAGCTTTCGGCTTCTGCTATTATCAACGATGTAAGAAGATCTTGGGTTTCATAATGTAAATTTTTCTTTGTGACGTAAGGATGGCAGCAAACATGTGACATCACCTTAGCCACTCAGGTGAAATGCGCGGAATTGCGCGCAAACAGAAACGCAAATGAATGTGCCTCAAACTGTGCGAACTACACTAAATGATTGTTGAGGTCTGAGTCAACTAAAAGGTATGACGGACGGACGGACCAGCGCATGTAGGGCGTCGGGAGGCTGAGGTATATAGAAGAATTCGCTCTAGCGCTCTGAACATGTGGGTGAGGACGGACGTTGATCGACTTACACCACCACCAACACCGCCGTCACAATGTTTACCCACTCGTATCGGCTTCTATAACAAGCCATTGTGTTCCAAATTGAAAGCCGTTCCTAGCCACTAAAATGAAAAACCGACACGGTGCCTGTAATTGTGGATCACAACAAGGGCTACTCTGCTAGGGCTGTTGAGAAACTGTTCTAACTGGTCGCACAAGGGACATTACTGTAGCGAAGAAGCTGTACAGCCAGTTTTTAGCTGACATTACTTCCTCCGTTAAGCACAATTTCACAGACTCTGCGAAGTAGAGCAGCTTCTTGTACAATTTTTGTTCCAAACTATTATTAGGTTGGTGCACAGTCCGCCTACCAAAATAGAAAGAAATTCGCTTTGAAAATGCTTAAACAAACTAATCGGTCTAGGCAATATGCTCTTTGCTATGTATACTGAAGATAGTATTTTATTGCACATTTCAAGAAACAATTTCAACAAAATCAATAAGTCGAGTAAAAAAATAAAATTCGTGACTATCTATGAGACATCCAATCGCTATGAATCTTTTTACTAGAAAAGAGTAGGTCATAAAATCAAGGCAAATCAAATTTCAGCAAATCAGCAATCTCAGCGAACAAATTCAAAAATCACTTTTTGGATATCACTCATGGTTAGCTTATATCGTTGCTATATGCCAACAAAAATTTTTTTCCAATATACATACATAGAAAGCACTAAATTTTTTCTTTTTAGCAAATATTGATCCAGAAGATTTTACTGAGCCTCAAGAAAGTAACGAACAAATATTGATTAAGAAGATTTTGCTGAAGCTCGAGAAAGTAACGAACAAAAATTTTCGTGTAAAATATTTACCGCAATTTTCAACAGCTTTTTTTGGATACTCTCGGCGCCTAATTGAGCCGTTGTTTTTGTTTTTGTGGAGAGTTACTCAAGACCTATGTGAGATCAAAGACTATAATTCCTAATCTTCCTTGCGACTACTGGTCTTAGTAACACGCATTTTCAAACAATTACACCACCAAAAACGCTATACCCTCTCATTTTGAAAGACTATTTATGCATACCCTGACACCCCATCAAGACAATTATCAGATCGTTTCCGCAGCTGAATTTCCAACTTAATGCTCGCACATTTCTCCAGAAATACACCCATTGAACTCTGTAATAGTTGCAATCTGCACCGTGCTACTTTTGTCGAAATTCCCACAAAAGAACTTCTCTTTGCGGTTCGACGCGAGACCAGTTTTTTTCGACAAACGTACTGGTTTGATTTATAGCTGACGTCATTTGCAATTCGCAGCGTCACCTGTGAATAGACTTTTTTACATTGGCTATGAACCACTGTTCGAACTGAAAACGCTATAAATTATCGCTGAAAGCTTGGTTGTAATGTATATAAATATTGAGTAAACATTGCTCAATCGAATCTGCGCGGTTTTATCGTCAGTTTTTCATACTTTTGATACGCCCCCGATTATTTACACATGCGTACGGAAATATACAACAGCCCTATGCAAATGAATGGGTTTTGTTATCAAAACCAGGACTCGGCACAGGTGGCTTATAAGCAAGCTTGTTTCGTTTTTGGGAAAAAAAGCAAGGGGGATATGGTTTTTGTGGCCGAAAAACAACTTAGGTAACGTTTATTTTTACTTGATGTTTCTTTTCTTTTGAAGGTAATTTTGTTTAGGGTTTAGGGTCAACCGGGACTTCGTAAAATTTCGCGAAAGTGAAGCGAGACTTTGTTTTTTGCATTTTCGGGAAGCCACCTCGTGCCGAGCCCTGATTAAAACGCACTACAGTACCCGAAATACACTTTTGGATAAAAGCGGGGTAGAACAGATTTTGCTGTTTTGAAAATGTTAGTAAGCATAAGGAAACTGCTTTGCTTCGTTTTTCACTTCTCTCTTACGTATATCCATCAAAAGTCTAAAAGTCTTGGAGAGTTTTTATTGTATCTCAACATTTTGTGAAGAATTTGATACATCTATCACTCAAGTTCAACTTTTTTTTCTTCATTTCAAGTGACTATGTTTTGCCCGGAACTTCTATGATATTCGTCATAATACGAACGGAGAATATTTTGAAGAGCAATTTATTTGAAAAGTCTAGTATTTTCATTGTTGATCAAGTGCAGGGCGACAAACTTAAGGCTATGAAGATTGGAATTTAAATGATCTTAAGCAGTTCTTTTTACCATAACTTGCCCAGGCTATGTGAAAAAATAGACTATAACTTGAGCTAGGTTATGCTAATTTAGTCAGACCCTGTAATGTTTTTTGTAACATTACCAAAGAAGACGCAGCAAACGGCTTTGAAGTACATACTTATAGGATCAGTTGAAGATGTAGCACGACATAAGAAGTATGTATTCATCGTAGCTATACTTTACAAGTGGCTGCAAAGAGAGTGAAACAAGTTACCTCTCTCAAACGTATTGAAACTCTCTTTGGAAAAGACTCTGCTCAGAACCAGATGCTTACTTTTTATACAATGTATGCTTCGAACTTGCCGTAGAAGTATGTGGGAGAAGATACTTGAGAATACAAACGAACATAGCAATGGAAGTTTTCAGCTTGATACTTCGTGACACCTTCTTCTCGGTATTCAACATTTTAGTGTGATAATTATTTGCTATAAGTGGGGCATTTGTAACATTTCAAAAGTACTAGGTTGTTGCATAATTCTTGCACCAAAAATTTTGGAATCTTGCTACTTTCTCTAGTTCCAATGAAGCCTTCTGAGATGACAGATATTACAGAAAGAAAATCTAGCGATTTCAGAATGTGCTCGAGTTCAAATTTCTTGAGGGCATATTGCAGCTATATAAACTGAAGAAAAAGAGAAATAAGAGAAAGAGAATTAAGAGAATAGAAGAAAAACACCCAGTAAGCGATTTTTCGATTTTTTGTGGCTAAAATTGCTAAAACGTCTAACGAGATTTAAATTTATTTTTGGTTTTGGTTTCATGACTTACTCTTTTTGACTAAGAGAGGTTGGTAGTAATTGGATGTTAGTAGGAATAGTTCTGAAATTTGATTTTTTTAAATTGACTTCGGCTTTTGTTTCATATTAATTTTCTAAAATATGCTATGAAATACTAGTATCGATATACATAACAAAGAGCATATTGTGTGATTTGATTGATTTATTTAGGCATTTCTAAAATGACTTTTTTTCTATTTTTTTGGTGCAGTAATTTTGCATCAACCTAATAGTACATGCTACAAGAAGCGAAATGACCATGGATTTATGAGTAGGAGGTCACAAACTCTTAATAGCAGTACCACGATACTAGAACTAATTACATAGTTCCTAACTTAGACAAGAAAGTCACAAAATCGAAATGAACTCTTTCTTTCAAATCGACATTCAATATAAGAAATGTGAGGTCAACGAGATGCGCACAAGACGAGCGCCATGTGAAAAGACGAGTTGTGGCTGAGAGTGGAATGGCATTGCAAAGATGAGAGAACGAGTTTCACGACGGGTAATTATGATAGTGCGTAGTAGTGATTGAAACACACCCTTTCCACGAATAAAGCTACAGTACAGCTCATAAATTATGTTCTTTTGGCAGTATCATCGCGACTTACCCAAAAAACAGGAGACGTCTTCATAGCAGAGTATTTGAGTACACGGTGGAGACTCCGCACAGCTGGCTGTCTCCGAAATTAGAAGGTAGGGCTCATTTTTGCAAAATTCCATAGGACCTGTATTTCTAGGAAAGAGCGTCTAAAGCGAAACGAGTATATAACGAGAATAGAAAAAAAACAGGGAATCACGAGTCGACAAAAATTGACGTGGAAATGAGAAGTTGATCATTTCGGTAGCCATCTCCGAAGATAACAAAATTTTAAAGCCCGACTTGATTGTTAAATTTTGGGTGAAAAGAGTGGCACAGGGTCCAATCAAATATAGATACCACTATTGTCGGTACTAAATGTAGGGGCTCATTAGCAGCTCATATAACTCTAGGCTTAAGATGAGGCTTTGAACTCTCGCCCAGACCGTCATATTTTCTGGATCAAGCGGCTTCGAATACGGTGTGGGCAGGATTTCAAAATTAGAAGGTTAGATCACGAGCGAATGTTCTAAGCTGCAACTTGAGCAGCGGTTTTCAAAGTCTCCCAATTACAGGTTTCGACTTGGACAATGCTTTTGAGAGATGAGTTTGAATCAAATTTGCGAACCCCTTGTCATTTTATTTCTGAAGTTCAGACAATCATGGAATTAGCGTATCATTCGTGAGTTAGGTAAAACATCATTAACCTTGTGAATTTTGTAGACGAAGTAATTGGAAAGAAATGAGATACTGTGTATTAGATGGGGGTACTGTAGCACTTTGCAACCATGTAAAAAATGTGCAAAAACAGCAATATTTCATTGACGGTGAAATGCTTGAGCTATAGAAGCATGGTATTCGCGGCTCAAACAAAGCAATGGCCGACAAGTGGACGTTGTTCACGAGCCGTCGAGAGGTTGTCATGTCACATTAGTGAGAAACATACGAAAAACAAGCCATGGATGATAGTCTGTCTATATACCGTAGATATACTATAAAATTTTGAATCATTTTAATATGTGAGCCTGCACAATATGCGCAGCAACCTACGACACTTATACTAGTAACTCCTCAGTAAAATCATTTTTGGCGTTAAAAACTATAGAAAGATGTATTAAGAAATAATACGATATTTAGTCAAATCATAAGAGGCAAGGATAAAAAGGGAACCATAAAAGTTGAGCAGCTTCTAACTCGCAATTTTTGTCTCGAGTCGTCAAGTAGCGCGCATGGTGTGTAAGGGGCATATTGAGTCGCAAATGATTTCGTGATATTTGAGAGAATAGACTGAGGTCGGCACGAGCTGACACCAGGGAAGTTTCAGAACGAAGTTCCCTTCGATCCTAGAAATCTCGTAGAAAGTCCCCTTTGACCCTAATCCCTGAACGTAAAACTTTTGGACTCGGAATTTTTGTGTCTTTTCGGCAACAAAAAACGCTATCCCCCTTGTTTTTTGTCCCAAAAATGATATCCAGCTTGACCCGGTGTCAGCTGTACCGAGCCTTGAGTACGGATCAGTGAAGAAAAAGTTTCAGTTAATTCAAATGAAACAACAACTTGACTTCGAATATTTATCTAAAATACGAAAGTGAATATAGTTAAGACACACACAAATTCCTCAAGCAATATAAATAAAATTTCAAATATATGACAATCGCATCTTCGCTTTCGCTTTGCGCAAGATTACATGAGCACCACAAACATACAAGATCAATGGAATTTCAGAGCTAATGATTAGTCGCAGCATCTGCATCCATAACATAGACATAATTTACAGATCACACGCATTCGGTTCAACACCAGTTGCAACTAGCACTTGAGAGTTAAATACGACTAAAAACGCGATTCTACAATTATTATATAAATTACGAGGTCAATGAAAATGTATCTCATTTTCCAGATCCGAAGAGTGGTGTCAGTACGAAGGGACTGCCAAGTTGAGGGAAACTCTGGAAAAGAGAAGAACAGATTAGCTCAGGTTGAGTTATTAGGAGGGGACCCAAAGTCGAAATCGGCTCGCCAAATGAAATACATGTTAATCTGAAGAGCATCAAACGCTAGTTCCAAAACTTTGTTTTTTTTGCCATGGTTTTTTTAAACGAAAAATGAAAGCAAAATTTAGTTAAAATCAATATGTATGGTTTTTCCAGCGCTCAAATAAAGAAGTCTTAAGTGTTTCATGCATGAAGTGCTTTGATATTCAACAACAGTGGTTCATTTGTGCAATTTCGGACGAATTTGCTCAAATTTTTCCAATTTTTTGAGCCAACAAACGCTCATAACTCAGCGCCTAGAGCGGGTTAGCAGATACGAAAAACAGTTTTGGGATCAGCGTTTGTTGCTCTTTGTACTAATATGTATTTCAAGTGAAAAGCCATTTTCGACTTTAGGTCCTCCCTTGTAGTTTTTGCACATTACACGACTACAGAGTTCGAACTAGCGCCAGAAAAAGGTTGTAAAGGGAACTTACTAAGGGTTGTTGTTGTATATTTACTAATGGAATGCCTTGAGCTGGAAATGGCATCATTCCAAATTGATATGGATTTGGACGTGGGGCCTAAAAACTTTTGTTTCGTTAAGATTGGGTAGAATCGACGATTTGAACTTACAGAAGTGGACGTTGCCGGCTTTGCATCGTCCAGACTCACTTGTGGCGCTGCTAACGCATGCTATAACAAGAATTGCTTCATAGAAAATATTAAATTATTCAAACTCAACGAACCGCGTGATGTGGCGAGAAGAGATTCAAAAAATTTAGAATAGGATGTTCCGTTGCTGTATTTGTGAACTGTGGAGGAACGTTCTGTGGTTGTGGCTGTGGTGGTAGTTGAGGTGGGTGTGGTTGTGGTTGAGGTGGGTGAGGTTGTGGCTGAGGTGGATGGGGCTGTGGCTGAGGTGCAGACCCTAAAATTTCACCAATTTTTGATTTTCACTTTGCAAACAGAGTTCTATATGCGAGAATTTTCTAGCGAAAAGTTTTTGTGAAAAGGTAACAGGAGAATCAGAGTGAAGCAGGACCGTATTAAACAGACAATCTACACTTTTTTGGAGTTTTTTTTTTCAGAATTGACCATACCTCTATATCAGAGGGGTCTGAAGAATTATTTTTTAGAGGAAGGGGGAGAGCGATAAATAATTTTTCAAATGAATGTGTGCTGTTAGCCATGCCCCCTCTCCCCCCCCCCCCCCCCTTCCCGGCCCGGAAGATTTTAAAGATAAAATCCCGCAGTTTTGCACGCTAAACCCGAAAATTCAAGAAAGGGGGCACAGGGGCAGCCTCGCTCAGAAAACCTTCAAAAAATATTTTTTTCGACCTGAGCTGAATTCTAAAATAGTTTTCGTCACAAGCGAAAGTAAGTCATTCACCCAATTTAGCCCAGGAAGGCTATTTTACCAAAACTTTTGCTATCCCTTCTACCCCTTGCCCCGTCCCTTCGGTCGCCACTGCCCCGCATCCGTGCAATATTTTGATGAACTTCACTCTGTAGTAGAAAATGTGCAGACAATTATACATTGCAAAGTAGAAATGTTACAAAAAATTGCTGAAAAAACAGTTAGTAATTTTTGTTTGGGATGGTGAGAAAAACGACATTCGAATTTCGCGCCAAAACGGAAGTTTCGCCTTTGGCTTTTGGCAGGTATCAACACGATTTTGTGACTTAGCGCAAAAGTGGGCGGAGCCTCGAGTTGATTGAATTTTGTAAGTACGCCATTGGCCCTCTCCACCTTTAGCTATACTCTTACATTGTTGCTGTACTTGTGGCCAGTTATTGTTGGGTATTGTGGTGACGACTCTTCTTGGAGCTGGGAGTTTTTCTGCTATCGGTGAAGGAATCTGTGTCTGAAACTTCGAATAAAAATCATTACACTACTTTGTTGCTTATGGTATCGTGTACTACATGTCATTCAGGTACCTGGAAATTTGCTGCTGATGGAAGTTGCCCAGCCGGCAAATCTCGATAAGGATTATGAATTATTGCTTGTGGATAACGAGAGCGATAGACACGTTGCTGTTCCTAAAATAAAATGAAATGGTATATGAAAATAGAAGAAAATTCAGTAGTACCAAGAAATCGTCGTATTCCTCTATTTCAGCAAGGAGATTGTTATATTCAGGTTCTCTTTGGGGTGGTGGGGGTTTTGGCCTGGAATAGTACAATTTGGAGTGGAAATTAGGAACTGGTAATTTGATCTACCTGAACACAAAGGGAGGGTAGCGCGGCTCTTCGTGTTGTATGGTTGGCTTTAAACCAGCTATATGGGATGTTCGCGAATGCTCTATAATCACGATCAATGAATATAAATACATTAAGTCATTGAGGTCGTCCTCAAATGATCAGTCACTTTGTGTAATTGCACAATCTTAAAATCTAATAAAAAATCAATAAAGAATGGCATTGAAATGATCAGAGCCACCAAAAAACCATTAAAATGTACTTGATAAACTTGCATGAGGTTTTATAAAAGTCTTATTCTCTAACGAAATCGTCCTGCTAACACAAATTCGAAAATTAGTGCAATTACACAAAGCGAATAGCCGAATTTATATATCGTTTTGAAGCGATTACCGTATACCCTTCGTTGTTTTGGTGGCGGATTCGCGAACTTGCGCTGATTCTTAACAATCATTTGATTAACTAAGAAAATTTTGTCAAAGATTTCAACTCACAGGATAGTTTTGTCGTGGTACTCGGGTCTTTTTCTCGGTACCATGTTCAGCCAGTTTATGTGCATCGACAGCAGATGTTCTTCGATTGGGAGGATCATCTACATACTGATCATCCTGAAAAATATCATTATACAAACTCATTTTTCTCTTATTTGACAGTCATTACTTACACTGTACTCCTCTTCTTTGATTGGGACTTCTTGGTGACCATCTACAGTGTCCCGCTCAGCTTGTGAGAATTCCCGAATTTTTGTGCCTTGAATCTGAAAAAGCAAAATTCTTGCAAAGTTTGCAGGACGATAAGGATATTTGTGAGGCAAACTGCAAAGATAACAATGTCGTATAAGGATTTTCGTTAAAAACTGATTTACAGACCTGATTTCTAACGATATGTTGTTCATCGTCGGATTTTTCGATATTATTATCAGGGTGGAATACACCATCCTCATCGAATGTTCCATGTAAGCTAAAAATATAACTTTTAAGAAGCTGACATCTCATACAATGATGATTGCACCGAATGATAGGACATATTTTTTATCAATTTGAACGTCCCAAAAAATTCAGATTCAAACCCAAACCCAGACCGTAGTTTTTGAGCCAACCAGTGAGCATCGAATAATGAAAAATTACGATCTGGACTAGAGTTCAGAATTGAATTGATTGTCCATTACGATGACGTCTATTTTTGCGTGGCTGCGCTGTGGGACGACATTATTGCACAACAATTTCAATGTGGGAAGGTTTTGTGGTTATTTACGTGCGAGGATGTTGTGTAAAGAACTATAAACATTTTCTTGAACGATGGAGCCTACAGGTATCAAGGGTGCAAAAAAAAATTCGAAAAAAAAATATTAGGTGGAAAATATACATACTAGTTTCACAAATAATATGACTTCGCAAAAGGTATGGGCCATCGGTGGTCCAAATCTTTCCTGACAGCAGAAAGATCGTAGGCCGCCGATGGTCAATGGGTTAAATTGAGCTGTCACTTAGACAGTGACCTAGCTAATTGCAAACGATGCAGACGTAAGGGATCCAAGTACCACATTTGCGTACGCAATGTCTTCAAGGACTGGAATCTGTTTAATTCATTTCTCGAAATCCATATACTATCTTTTATGTCCGATATGCTAACAAGATTAGGCATGGACCACGTTTTGATCGACGTCCAGTTGACTGTTTGTCATTCAAGACAAGAAGGACAATAATCTACTACGCTAACGACATGATGAAGCGGTGTTAACCGCGCTGTGATTGATATCTGCAACTGTAAACAATGCTAGAAGAACTAGTTGGCTATGTTCACAGGAAGTTATAGATGTAGATTTTTACAGGATTTACTCTTTTTCAGATTTGTTTGAGAATCTTCTTTTCTTTTTGAACGCACCATCTCAAAGAGGCGCCATATGCTGCGAGTTCTTACCGTAATCTTATAATAAGAGAGTTTAATTCGCTCTATGCTGTGAATTCAAGTTGAAACCAGCTCTTTGAATTGGTATCTAAATCCTCCTGGAAGATATCTTGACAAGAGAGTTATTAACAATCAAACAGTAGGCACATATTTTTGGAACGCCCTGTATGTGAGAAATTTCTATATTTTCATCTAAATAAGTTTATATTTACCGATTCTCTGGCATAGGAGGCATTTCCACCATATTATTGACAGCATAGACACCTCCGGGGTTAGACGAAGGAGTAGTCGGTTTAGCTGTGGCACGGGTTGTCGGAGGGGGCGAAGTTGAGGTTAGCTGTTCCATAACTTGAAAAAGGAATAGATTTGTAACCAATATCAAAAAATTCCTTCTCACCTTCATCGTACGTCAACGGAAGCGGTGGTAACCCAGCTAATAAAGGAGGTGGATTCAAATCACCGAGGCCTCGCACAGTCCCTTGAGCTAGTGCGTTTTGTATGAAGCCAAAACCTCCGAGATTACCAGAATTTAGCAATCGTACGTATTGGTCGAGTTGTGAAGGTCCATACGGATTTTGAGCCCCGATTAAGGGCAACAAAATTAGGAGTAACATACCCTAAAAAATCCCTTATTGCTTCAATCTTTGCAGAAATGCGGATTTGCCAGTTTGATAACGATTTGTCATTAAATGCGTTCGGCGTAATTCGACTAGGCCCTAGCCACATTTCCCATTTCGATGCAATTCCAATCTAACAATAAGACTTATAGGACAGCTTGTATCTCCAGAATACATCAGGGTCATTTCTTTTTAAACGACGCTTATAGCCTTCTCTAAGCGAAGGAAAAGATTAGATCTACAGCTTTAGGAAAGATTTGGGAGTTTGGATTGTTTCGATCATAAAGAATACGCGAAGGAATCTGGAACATGATGGTTTGATCTTGCGGATAAGCAAAAAACCTTACGAGGATATAAATTCGAATGGGCATTTTATTCGCTTATGGAATCGTGGGAAATCGAGAGTACCAAACTGGTCTCTTAAAACACTTCGAGAAACGTGGTTTCAAAGCTGAGGAGTGAGAACGTGATCAGAAATGCCTGAACGGGTCATCCCACTTTCAGATGATTTGAGCTTTGTCGGTATTGTTTTCGACCATTTGCGAAATGGCATTGCCAGAAAGCTGGCCCTAGTATGGAAGGAGAGTTGATATACTTCGATTGCCCATGATAAATTTTTAAGTAACTAAAGACTGTCAAGGACATTAGATAAGGAAGATCACAGCAAATGAGCAGAAATAATCCAGAGAATGAGCTGGCACGTTGTCGCGCCTTATAGTAATGACGCGCGATATAAACCAGACATATACTGGCTAACATCCAAAAACGGGTCCGCACCAGCCCCCCGTCATTTCGCACTCCCTCTGCTTACGTAAGATACGGTGATAACACGAAAATTCGATAGCCATCATGATAAACATGTCTAATTAATGCTAAAGGCTCGAAAAAATCAGATGTTGAGCCCTTATAGGAGCCACAAAAGATAATGAAAGTAAGATCTCATTAATTTTGGCACTTGTTCTCAAACTTGGGGAGAAAGAGACCTTGAAACAGCCTCGCATTCATGAAATTACGCACGACAACCGGTAAGAAGCAGCATTCACCTCACCTAGCTCGGGATAAATGGAGCGAATAGGGCTCCGAAAAAAAAGTTGGCAAAAATAAAAAAAATGTGATTACATGCAAGGGAACGAGCAGATAATGTATTGTGGATCTATTGAAGAAAAAATCGAAAAATTTTTGTAGAGGCAAAAAACCTTGAACACTTTGTATGAATGGAAACGTATTTTTGCACACTTACTCGAAATAAAGTTTTACGAAAAAGATTTTGTGAAAATGTGACATCTCAAGCCTCATGTAATGCATGTATAGCATAAAGATGGCTTTTGATCGGTACTACTACCAAACTCTTTCCACAATCTTATACTTGTACCCTACAGTAAATTCTGGATTGGGTGCTCGACCTATATGTAAAAAATATTTTTGCAATTTCAATCTCGTCATGTGAGTTCTCCCTCAAAAAGAATTTTTGACATTAGTGCTAAGATTAGAGTCTCATCGACCCAGTACACATTGGCGTATACCCGTAAATTATGTGAGTAGACAAAGAGAGGATTCAGTAAAAGTAGAACAAAAAAGCACATCATGATTCGAGCAAGACTAGAAAATTACAAAAACTACAGTAGGTAGGATATTCGAAAGCAGATTGAACATTCACCAAAGCATACGTAGCCTGGTCACAGCCATTGAGAAGTCAGCCAGTGATAGGAATAAGCCATATTCCGTCTAATCTAACAATCGATATCGGCTAAAAGCTTGATGTGATATAACGCGAAAACCAAGGCTAACCGGGCATTTCTTAAGCTTGTGGATCTTTTGCCGTCATCAGCGGAAACTATTCTACGAAGATCATAATCGCACTTTCGGAACACCGAACACAAAATCGCGGAAAAATCGACACTTTCACTGAAATGGCGCAATGCGAATGACAGTGTGTTGTTACAAGAATCTGGAGTAGCTATTCAAGGCTAGGAATAAAAAGAAGTTCCAAGCGGCCTGTAGGAGATCAGCTTCGAAGCCGAAGTGGGCGAATAGGCTTCAAGCACGATCATGCGCCCCGCTGTTTTCGACGATACAGATTTCTCAAAGCTTAATCGGCCTATTTCGGCATTTACCCACTTCAGTCACTTAGGATCAAGTCAAAAGCTCAAAAAGCTGCCTCAGCTCTGAGAAAGCACAAGAAAAAGAAAAAGCCTCGAAATTTTTAGCTTATTGGGTGCAGTAAATTTGAAGTGAGTGGTAATACAGGGTGTCCCAAAAGTATGTATGCACTGTTTGATTGTTAATATCTCTCTTCCCAAGAAGTCTTTTGCCTTGCTTCAGGTACCGTTTTGTAGTGCTGGCTTCAACTTAGATTTGCGTTATGAAACGAATCACCCATCTCTCTTCATTACTGTAATTTTACGGTAGAAATTTCAAAGAGGGTTTTGAGCAATGAAAGGCCATATTTTGCCTCAGAAAGGAAACAAAACAACTTGAAAGCTTTCACACTAGGCTAACTAGAGTTGTTGATTCTAACTGTAAAGTTTCCAACTTACTATGATGCTTCATTGAAGAGTTATGCCGGGTAAGAGGTAGCGGCCATTTTTTCAATGTTCCTAAAAAGTGCCGTTACACCCTTTAGAAAGCTTCGTAATTTTGTGAAAAGTTGAGTATTGAACTCGGCGTCCATAAAAACCCTATTACACAAGTTTTCACATTTTTTTGAAAAATTTTGAATTGGCAGCTTTTTCCACATTGACAACATATGTTTCAAGTTTCTACCGTAATCTTACAGTAATGAAGAGAGATGGATGATTTGTTCTATAATGCAAATCTAAGTTGAAGCCAGTTCTACAAAACAATACCTGAAGCAAGGTAAAAGACTATTGGAAAGAGAGATATTAATGATCAAACAGTGCATACATACTTTTGGGACACCCTGTATAGTGCAATTGCGATGCACACAACTCTTGCGCGTAATATGACCATGGTTCTACAATTGGAGGATGAGACAATACATGCGCTCTGACACACTCGGTAAGTCCCAAATTTGAATTTTCTCTTGAGAGCCAAAGGCCGAGAAAATTTCGAAAAATCGAAGACATTTAAGAAAGGAAATGTGCTCTATGACTTTCTATTTTTGTCGGCATCGCTGTACATTTATATGACCTAACTAGCAATCTATTCTCTCTTCTCTTCCATCTGAGCTGGACAAAACGCATTTGCAGTTGAAATGCTGTAATGCCACTTTGCCCTATTCAGAAAGTTCTCTACATTCGTAGTCAACAGGACCTTCAGTCATGTGTGTGTTCATTCGGGATTAGTGAGATTAATAGAGCTGTTTGTCAGAGAATGAGAATGCAAAGCTGTTGCAGACTGCTCAAGTATAAATACAAAAAAATCGTAGACACAGTGGACATTCTAGCAATAAAACAGAGAAAAGCTGATTCTTGTTACAAAACTACTGAATTACAAAAAAAATGTCTGCAATCAAGATGAGGCTCAACTGAGGATACATGTATTTATAGAACTAACGAATTTCAAGCATGTCGCTCACTGAGTTAGGGTACCATTTGGGTTCACTGAAACACGGAGGATCTGTAATTTTATAAACTCAGCATTGTATGAAGTTTGACGCTCAGTGAAGGATTCTTTCCATGAGTTTAGGGGTTAGCCAATAGACGAGGCGTACGGCTATTGGCTGAGGCACAAGTGATACAGCATAATAAAAAGTCTAAAGAGTTGCATAATAGCCAAAGCTGAACGTAGCGGAGCGTTTATTAGCCGTGAACAAAAGATTGCGACAGCTTGAAGTGATAAAATCGAGTTTCTTGAAATATCAGCGTGACGTCCACGATCTATATCGCTAGCAACAGAAATGGCGCGAATCAGCTTGGTTTCAAAAACGAAAACTGATAGGGGGGAGGATAGGGAGCGGAATCAAGCTCTTCGCACACTTTCGCAATGAATCCACACACACCAGAGCGAGTGGACCGAAATCTGCGACGACGACGATGCCCCGGCGTATAGCATCGCCGGATATGGCGTCACAAGGCGGGGGCAGACTGGTTCCTCCTCATCTTGCACCCCCCCCCCGTGCATACTCCCCGGGTGGTGAGCGCGTTCCTCGGGTAGAGAGGAGACGAACAGAACCGCTCGCATTGGTCATCATTGTCATGGTAAGAACACCGAAATCCAGCTACTGCCGAAAAGTACTTAACATCATCCTGACCTGAAGTCAGTACTTCCGCGTGGCAACTCTTCTACCGTATGCCTACCATATACCCACCGTATCCCTACTAGTCCTTTCGTTAGGCAGAGAATTGATACAGGAACCTTAGCTACACAGATGTATTTCAGAAGGGGGCGAATTTCATAGTAACTAACGCAAAAAAACCATAGAAATGCATTACAAGGAAAACATACGAAAATAATCTGGCAAGCCGAGAAGAGACATACATCAATACACACGTCTTCAAACGCTGATTTTAAATCTGCTTTCCGCTGCGGAAAGCTCTCCGAAAGAAGTTTTGAAAAGTCTGAATTTGTCCAGTTGCATAAAATTAAAGAATACCTGCACAAATGCAGGTAAGAGGATTTCCAATGGCTGTATTCCTTCCTTGTAGTCAATATACTCGGCACAAGACTGATTTTCTACTTTCCCTAATTTGTGCCACCTAAGACTTGACTATTTCAAGCTTTTAAACGTTGAAACTTGTTTGAGAGAGTTGTTCCGCAGAAAAGGAAAGCAGATTTCGAATCAGCGTTCAAAGATACGTCTGCTGGTACATATCGCTCTTTTCGTTTTGCCAGATCATGTTGGTATCCCTCCATTATTAGCTTGCCTTTTACGATGCCAAACTTTCTTTGCCTCATTTGAACATAAAGAGTTATCACCTCTATTCCCATAAAAACTCCAGGTCCATTGCTAAGGCACCGTTCCAAAAACACGTTTTCCTCACAGCGTTCGTTGGGATGAAAGCGATCTGCACGGGCTTCACCTTCAATCTGCACGA